TTATAATTTTGTTACTGTGTCCTTATGACCTTAACTAATATTATTATTTGTATATTTTCAAGTGGCTTGAGTAATATATGTTTTTTTGGAAACACTACTTTTTATTTGAACCTAACACTCTCTGCATGCATGCACAAACAAATTAGAGCGGATTCATTTAAAAATGATTCTCCCCATGAGAAGATAATGATTCAAAAGAGTGCAATTCTCGTGTTAAGATGGTGCGCAGCCTCCAAATGTACAAAAAGTTCAATTTTTTTACAAAAATTTGATTAGATAAATGTTCAAACAACACCGTTTTCTACTTTTCTAATTCAAAATATTGAGACAGTTAATGTGGATTTTGATAAGAACCCTGCCCATTATCTGCAATTCGCTCATAGCTACTAAATGTTTCAGTTTTAGATTTTCATTCAAATACATATATACAACCTTACTCGATATAAGTCATTATTCAATAAGTTGGGTGGATCGAATTATAGTATAGGAAATCAATAGGAGAATTTATACTTCATCTTTTTTTTTAAAATCAAATAATTAATTTATTCATTAAATAATAACAAAGATACAAGCGAGTAAATAGTCTATATAAGAGATTCAATGAATCTTTCCATATCGCTAATCTCGCAATAATGTAGTCTAATATAATAGTCTTGCTACTCAATAGAGAAAATAAAAAATTACAACTCAAAGATACGGCCTTACCTGCCACCAAAAAGGGATAGTTGGTTTGGTCAGCAATCTACAAAGGAAACTCAGAGTAATGATTCTCCCCATGAGAAGATAATGATTCAAAAGAGTGCAGTTCTGGTGTTAAGATGGTGCGCAGCCTCCAAATGTACAAAAAGTTCAATCTTTTTACAAAAATTTGATTAGATAAATGTTCAAACAACGCCGTTTTCTAATTCAAAATATTGAGACAGTTAATGTGGATTTTGATAAGAACCCTGCCCATTATTGCAATTCGCTCATAGAGTCATAGCTACTAAATGTTTCAGTTTCAGATTTTCATTCAAATACATATATACAACCTTACTCGATATAAGTCATTATTCAATAAGTTGGGTGGATCGAATTAAATCGAATTATAGTGAAGGAAATCAATAGGAGAATTTATACTTCATCTTTTTTTAAAAAAAATCAAATAACTAATTTATTCATTAAATAATAACAAAGATACAAGCGAGTAAATAGTCTATGAAAAAGATTCAATGAATCTTTCCATATCGCTAACCTCGCAATAATGTTGTATAATCTAACAGTCTTGCTACTCAAAAGAGAAAATAAAAAATTACAACTCAAAGATACGGCCTTACCTGCCACCAAAAAGGGATAGTTGGTTTGGTCAGCAATCTACAAAGGAAACTCAATTGAGTAGATATGGTTCAAATCATCGATTTGACCAGCCATCGAAAAGGAGATCCAGTTACTACTACTCCCTCCGTCCCTAATAACTTTGCCAAGTTTGACCGGCACGAGGATTAATAAAGTAAAAACTGTGTGGTTGAAGTTTGTGCAGAGGTGAGAGAATTAACTGGAACCACAAATTCTTTACTTAAATGGGAAAGTGACAAAGTTAATGGAACATCCAAAAAAGGAAAGTTGGCAAAGTTATAAGAGACGGAGGGAGTATATTTTTCCCGGAGTGAGGCGGTGGTTCAGGGGGATGACGAGTACTTGAAGCTTCAAAGGAACTAAGTTGAGCATGTGTTACAACTATGAATAATGAATCATTTGATCTGTTACATCGATGAGAAAGACACGACCTCTATACATTGCTAGGAGAAGAACAAAACACACGAAGCCGACATAACTTTCGGCTATAGAAGAAGTCGGACCAAAACCAAAACCCTACAAGATAGAAACAAAAAGAGCAACAACATAAGAAAACCTTTGATTCGTTAATGCTTAGAGAACATCAACATCATCAAAGATTGTTGCCAATCGCAAAAGAGAAAGCCAAGAAACTAGATCCGTCCGGTAGATCGCTGACTAGGGTTTGTAGGACCGACTCTAACCCTCAAAACTTTCGCATAGCTGAAAACAGGAGACTGAATCGGCGGACAGAGAAGATGGAAACAAACGAATAAACGATCAAGCCCTGAGGTACAATCTTCTAGCCTAACTCCTAGATGATGCGGTGTTCCGTCCGTTCATTTTTAATTGCAGCATCCTCCATTTTCAAGTTTGTCAATGCACAACTTTGATCGTCATTATATTTAATTCTCCATTAGTAAAAAGTATTAAAAAAAAGTAGATTATGGGAATTTGTATTGAGATGAATTCAACGATTTTTTTAAAAATTACACATTAATAAGTAAAATGTAATCAAAGTAGAATATGCGAATAGTGTAGAATTTTCTATGTTGCAATTAAACAGAGCAGTACCAAATATAAGTTAATAGTACGAAGTATGTGTGTGCATAATACAATACTAGAAGTTAGCAGACATTAATGATTTTTGAAACTTTAATATTCTTTCGAGCGATACCAAATATAACCTAAATTATCAAAAAAGAACAGATAACAAAGTTTACATGAGCACACACATTTTACTACGTTGTAGTTTTGAGACGAATGAATGTATGTTTGGATTATAAAATTATTGGTTCGAACAAAAGATTTATTGAAACGAGAAAAATATAAAAAACCCCAAATGTATTATTTTAGAATGGTCGGGTCTCATATTTTTCGGTTCTCGAAATCTAGAATTGGTCCTGTATCCATTTTAAAATGATACGGTTCTGATTCGGGATAAAAATTTATGGAATTGTTTAAATAATCGATATTGTGTTATGGGTCGATTTGATATGGGTTGGCTTGGTTTTTATGTTCACCCTAAGATTTGTAATTTGAATTTGAATTTTGAGAGGAAGCGGTCCGGCTCACTAATCGCCGACTCACTATCACATAAACAAAATCCTGAGTTTGAAATTTTATGGAAGCAATTTCAGCCCTATTTAACCCTAGACCCCAACCCCAAACCTCTCTGAAATAAAAAAAAGTTGATTTTGAATTTTGAAGATGAAAAAAGGATGGTTAGAACACAACTAGAAAAAAGCTTAATTGTTGCGGTCGTTTTAACATAATTGCTGCGGTTTAGAACCGCAGCAATTGAAGGGGCAACAAAATGTAAAAACGGGTATTTGCTGCGGTCGCAACCGCAGCAATTAAGGGACCGAAAATTAAAAAAAAAAACTTATTGCTGCGGTTCCCTTACGACCGCAACAAAAAGGCGTCGGAAATTTACTTATAACTTTTTGCTGCGGTTCCTTATACCCGCAGCAAATACTTTACAATTTTAAAGTAAATCTACCCTATTTAATGATTAATTGCTCTAAATTCACAATAACAACTTTTAGATCGACAAAAAACGTGTATTTCTAAGCATCCAGGTTCTCAATCATTACAATAGTTACAATACAGGTTTTAGACCGCCAAAAAAGCACATTACAAAAGCACATCCGAAGCAACAAAAAAGTATATTGTTACAATACATGGTTCATACAAGAGTTTACTAGAAATTGTCAGAAACAAATATAGCCCACATATCACGGATTTCACCGATTTCTGCCATTGACAGCGCATTATCTCTTACGTTGCTCGTGTACACCTGATAATCAATTTAAATTATTACAGTTAGGATTTGCAATATAATTTCATAATATTGACATGGTAACATTTGCAACCTTTTTAATGATTACTATTTCATTAAGTAATTAAAAAATAACTTCAAGTAAAAGTAACATATCTCATGAATAAGTATTGAAATAACCTGCTCCAGATCATGACCTTCAGCGATACTTTTAACAACATCAAACATGAATCTCATTATATAAAATCCACATTCCAAACCGCCCGTTTGTTTTGCGCACTGTAATGTCAAATTGTACACATAACATATTTATTTTAATTAATACATCCGCTATCAAGTTAGATAAATTAAATAATATAGTAAAAAAAATTGTTAGAGAATGTATATACTAATACCTTCATCTGTTTCCAAGTTATCTTTTTCACTTGTCCACCACCACCACAAATATTTCTAAAAACACTATTATGAAAACATTCAACGTTATAAAAAACATAGTTCCGAAATAGTAAGCTATATAATGCAATAATAACAATAATCATGTTTGCAAAAATTGTTTTTTTTATAAAATTACCTGCTGAACAATGGCATGATTAATAAGCGACGCATCGGGCTTGTCCGGAGCGAATCATACATAAAAATTATGCCGCGTGAGATCCAAACCACAAGCAACACCCAATGATGACTACACAAGTAATTTGAGATGGACATCATTATGTAATAGCTAGAAAATCACATTTGTATATCGTTGATATTATAAATATAATAAATCAACTTATTATATATAGAAATACATACTCTTCATAATAAGGAGCAACAAGAATATCTATGGCCGTATTCCGAGATTCAGTGATGGCTCGATGTATGTAAACTTTCACATCTTCAGGGTTATTTTCGAAACACGATGGTGATGTGTTTAGTATTTAGCGGATTGTTAATACCATATGGTTTGATTAGTGAAATAAGTTGACGGATTGCAATTTTTAATAAACTCGGCAAATATTCCCAGTCATTTGACCCACTGATTTTGGTAATTTGCCTACCGAATTGCAAAAAGATTTTGATAATATAGTTATTTGGTCATAACAATTAGTTGAAATTTTCTTATGGGGGTATTTCAAAACGCTAACTCAAAACGATGTTATTTGCAACATTTTTGTTTCGGCAATTTCATTCAAAAATAGTAATAGGACCGACCCATCGAACAACTATTAATAAGAAATTTGTTACAATTTCCCTTTTTGATAAGTTTTTTCTTTAAAAAAACTCAACTACTGTTACTTTTTCTACTTTTTATCTCTCTTACTTTTTTTCACTATTCATTATCCCTACTATTTCACTCTTAAATCACGTGTCAGCACCTACTGTAGCAAACAAAAAAATATGGATGGAGTTACATTTTTTTTCCCTCAAATGCCGGCCGTACCCAAATCTCATCCCGAACCGCCCAGGCCATACCCATATTTTAATTTCCTGAAATTCCAAATCAGTGGGAACATTGCGGAAGAGCTAGGGTTTAGACGGGAGAACTTTGTGAGGGGTTGTTTTCGTCACCTGCTGAGGAGGTTTGAAGGCCGCGAGTGGTTTTGAGAAGGAGAAAGCGCTCGACGGTTCAGGGTCGCGAGGGGTTTTGGAGCAGGAGAAAGCGCTCGAGGTTTCGTCCTAACCATGGCATATAGTAAGAACTCGTGATTAACAAATCATTATTATGATTGTTCCGTGAAATTTAAGTATTCTTATCGAAAACATTTCCGGTACAGGGCTGCAGTTCGAGAATTCGTGTGATATTGGGGTCTTCTCCAAGCTCACTAATGCTTACTGCTTGGTCGCAATCGGAGGATCAGAAAACTTTTACAGGTTCGCGCGCGTCTATTGCACATGCGTCATTTCTAATTTGTATGTTGAAATGAATGGTTGTGTTGTTTGCAGCACATTTGAAGAGGAGCTCGCAGATGTTATTCCAGTAATTAAAACATCCATAGCTGGAACGCGGATAGTTGGACGGCTTTGTGCTGGTAAGTAACCAAATGGCTTGTTGGGTGATATATAGTTGTATTAGGGAAGAGGGGCACGATCATACCAGATTTAACATGCCGTTTTCTTTATGCACCATGCAGGAAATAAAAAGGGGCTCATTTTGCCTCACACTACTACTGACCAAGGTGAGCTAATGATTGAAAAATATGTGTCTGTTGTTTGTGCAGATGCAGATATGCTGTATGAATAATATAATTAGGATATTTATTTTAACTGAGTGCCTGAATGGCTTATACTTACTACCTATTCTGTTGCACATATAGTTATCATCTTATCAACTCTAAAAATATGCTCCCAGTTCCTATTTAACTGTCCAGGTTGATCGCATTTCCTTGTTTCTTCTATCTGACTTTTCTGAATTCTATGTACATTAAATAACTATTCTTACATTTACCCTTCTTAAACTATTTAATTTACCTTTTCCAAAGAGAACTTTTAATGGAGTTTTCTTTGGTAAAGCACTAAATTTTTTATTATCAACACCATACATTCTCTTAAACTGATCCAACAAATCATAACTACTTTTTCTCAACAGCGAACACTAATAAACATAAGTTAAGAAAACAAAATCCAATCCTTCCCTCCCTTTCTAAATTATCTAATCGTAACCAAAGCTTTAAAGAAGATATTAGTGTGCTCGGTGGATTGTGTTTTTAAGAGTCTCAGGTTTTTACCCCAAAATCTTTTGGGACTAAAGCTTGGATGTTGTTGTATAAAATTGTACTGAAGGCGTGAAGTAAAATATAAAATAATAATTGTTACCTAAATTATTTTACCTCATATTGAATGTATTAAGTAAAATAACAATTATATAGCTTAAACTATTCAGTATCACTAAAACTCTTAATAGATGAAGGGGAGAGCCTTGGCACACCGGTTAAGTATTGCAATGTGACCGAGAGGTCACGGGTTCAAGTCTTGGGAGCGGGCTCTTGTCAAAATGACAAGAGAAGGATTGCCCTTATACACCCTTGTGGTGGGACCCTTCACCGGACCCTAGCTATACAGTGATGCCAATGTGCACAGGGGTGCCGTATTTCTAAAACTCTTACTGGATGTATTGATGAATATATGTAGATTTGACTTTTAATGAATGATTAACCGAACTTTTATATTGCGTGACTTCTGTCTTCCTGCTGGAAGAACTTCAACACCTGAGAAACAGTTTACCAGATAGTGTTGTGGTTCAACGCGTTGAGGAGAAACTATCTGCGTTGGGGAATTGCATTGCTTGCAATGACCATGTAGCTCTTATACATGCAGAGCTTGATAAGGTAAAATCCCATCTATCTCTCATCACTTTTCAGGGAGAGTTTACTTGGATCAGAATTTCTTGAATCTCTTTAAAATGAGAAAGTTTTGATTCGAAAGAAATTTTTAAATGAAGTTTAACACAAATGTTTCTCTTTTTTGTTTTTCATGGGTGAATTTCTGTGCCCCTCTGACACTGCATGCCTTCTTTCCCTGGGAAGTATGGGTTGTATTGGTTGGTTATTATTTTGTCTTGCTTCCTATGATGTACGAGAAGATCTATTCTGAGTTTCAGGCCAAAGAGAATGACTAAAAAAGGCTTATGAGATCATCATGGAATTCTTTTTAAAAAATCATCATGGAATTTTTCTCGATGTTAATCTGAAACCATTCAATGTTTGGGTTTTCAAGGTTAGATATTGTTTGTGAAGAGTAATGCTATGTGTGTAGGTTTGAATTAATCAGTTTGTGTTTTGATAGTTACTCTTCCTTTACCTCTGTGCTAATGCATATTTTATCCAAATATCTTTATCTTCATTCCTGCTGCTTTGTTTTCTGGGGGTGTTAAGGAAACCGAAGAGTTGATCAGTGATGTCCTTGGAGTTGAAGTTTTTAGGCAGACAGTAGCAGGAAATATACTTGTTGGCAGCTATTGTGCGCTTTCGAACAGTGGTGGCTTGGTAAGCACTATGTTTCTGTTCATTGAGACTATTCCTTGTTCTCTGATACTTAGGCTTGTTCTATAACCTGTATGTTTGGATTACGAGGCCTGCGGAGGAAGTTTCTATTAGGGATGGACATTTGGTTCGGGTTAACCGAACCACACCAAACTAATCTGTTCAATATGTAATCCGGTTTTAGTGTGGTGATGTTTTTTCTAACTGTATCAATCTGGACTGGACTGAAAGCTGAATCAAAACAAGTAGGACTAAAACCATATCCAAACATTACTTTATTTTTTAAAATAATATTAAATCCAAACCAAACAACTAAAATAAACTAAATGTAGTTATTTCAGCAATAATTCCCCCAAGTCCCAGCCATAGTTGTTATGGCGTCGATATATCGTCGCCACATCGTCGACATATCGTCGTGGCGCGAAGTGAAAATCGCCATGGGAGCTCGACTCGCCATAAAACCTTTGGCGTCGAAGAATCGTCGCTGTGTCGTCGGAAGACGCCCAAAACGCCTAATCGACAACCCAAGGCGTAAAATTATTTAATTTGGAACAGGCCCAAACCCAAACCCAACTGAATTTCGAAGAGGCCCCAAAAAAAATTAACAAACAAATCTATCTGCATCGACGACATACGCACGCTTCATTCTTCAGTCCGTCGTTTGCAGTCGTCTGCACGCTCCACTAGTTATAATCTGGAATTTCCGTCGCTCTCTAAAGTTCTAATCTGTCGTCGCTCACTCATGTCTGCAGTCGTCTGCACGTTCCACTAGATTAGCCCCCTTTTTATGTTGTTTTGTTCATGTATTTGTTGTATTTTTTGAGTCGGTTAAGTGTTTAGTTTTGTTTTTATAATTTCAATTTTCAACCACTTTACTCCAATATTAATTGTTTAGTTGTGTACAGTTGTTCTGTTGAACTCCGTTTAGTGTTTAGCTTTTTTTGTTGTATTTACATTGTTCAGTTTGATTCAATTTTTTTTAGAAAAATCAGTTCTTTTTTTATTTTATATTTCATGATGTTTTTGGTGTCTTGAATTTATGCAGAAATTTATATTGTGTGATTGTGTTGTCTTACATTTAATATTTTTTTAAGTGTTAGTGACATTTCAGTTAAGTTGTGTTTATTTATTTTTATTTCTATGATTACATGTTTTATTACTTGATTTACTTCATTAGTAGTGTTGGCTATAAGTGTTACATGTAGGCTTTTTAGTATGTAAAACATGTTATGAATTTATTAGTCTATATGTCGACTTATCGCCGGGACCCCGCCACGACGGGCGCCATATCGCCATGGCGGTATGGCAGTCCAAAGGCGCCGCGCCGCAAAATCCCGCCGTAACAACTATGGTCCCAGCCCATTATAAACCGAACCCGGAATGCTCAACTGATTTCCATGTTGTGCTTGTTCTGTGTGCATGCAGGTGCATCCACACACATCCATTGAAGATTTGGATGAACTTTCAACTCTTGTCCAAGTTCCTCTGGTGGCTGGATCTGTGAACCGTGGCAGTGAAGTGATTGCTGCTGGGTTAACTGTGAACGACTGGGTGGCATTTTGTGGCTCTGACACCACCGCAACAGAGTTGAATGTCATTACAAGTGTATTCAAGTTGAGGGAGGGTGCACGTCCTGGTGCTATCGTTGATGAAATGCGGAAATCCCTGATAGACAGCTATATATAAATTTCATAATTATTGTCATGTTTCACAACCATGGTCACCCATCATTTCTGGATATTGTTCTGTTCTTTATTTTCTAGCTGTGTTCAGTTTATATAGAGATTGTGGCATGGTGAATCTTAAAAAAAATACATTGTTGGTTGCGTCTTTTTACAATTCTTTGTACCAGCAATGCTGCTTTTGTTGTGAATGGATACCTGATGGTTTTTTATATTTGAAGGAAAAAGATCTTCAAAATTTTTGCTCATCATTGACAAAGATGAAGTTTCCTATGGGACGGTTTTGGACGACATCTGTCTCGCTTGTCACCCATGCAGGATAGGCATGGACCAGGCCCGGGCCGGGCTGGTTAAAAGCGGGACAGATTTTTTGGGCCTCAGTAGGGATGGACCCGGGCCGGTTCCGGTTCGGGCCTGGGCGGGCTTTTGTTTGGGAAGTAGGGAACCGGAACCGGCCTGGGTGACCGGTGGTTGCGGGCCGGTTTCCGGTTCAATTTTTTTTCTTTTGTTTTTCTAAATTACCCCCGACCCCCCCCAACCCCCCCCCCCAACCCCCCCCCCAACCCCCCCCCCAACCCCCCCCCCCCCCCAACCCCCCCCCAACCCCCCCCCCCCCAAACACCCAGCACTACATTGTAGAAACCAAAAAAAATTGAAAAAACACAAAAAAAAAATTGGTCCGAACCGGGCCTGAACCGGCCGGGCCGGTTCAACGTTTTCAAGGCCCGAGCCCGAACCGGGAGTTGGGCGGTTCCTGTTGGCCCGAACCTGCCCCAAGACCGGGTACCAGGCCGACCCGGGCCCAAAAACTACCGGGCTGGGCGCCCCGACCCTAGTCCACCCCTAGGCCTAAGGCCCGGTACCGGCCTGAGATTCTACCGAGACCAGTCCGATCTGAGATTCTACCGGGACTGAACCGGTCCAGGCCTGGGTCATTTTTTATGAGTTTTCTAATTTATTCCTACCTCCCACCACCCACCCACCCACACCCCCAAAACTCTCAGCCCAACCCACCTAGCAGAGGCCCAAACCCAAAAAATAAAAATAAATGTTTGGCCCGGACCGGCTGGGTTTGGCTCTCCGATTGCATGTCTTGTAGCCCGCCCCCCAAACCCCGGTTTGGACCTCGGTCCCAATCCTGGAACCACCTGGCCGGGCTGGGCCAGTACTGAACAAAGGTAGTCTGGGCCGGGTACCGGGCCGGTTAGACCGTGCCCGGTCCATCCTTAATGCAGGCACTGGAGTCTGGACTACTGCCCTAGTGATGGGCGGGTGACAAAGGTCATATGGTGGTCCATTTCCAACTTGAATAAGTTATCACATATTCACATGACTACTTCTGCAGTTCTGCTCATTCTGGTTCCTCAATTACCACTTGGCCATCTAAAAGTCTTTTTGTTAACATATTTTACTTCTATCTTTTCTAAAACATTGGTATTTATGAATACCATGAAACTTGAAATTATTAAGTTATAAACTAATAATGTCTTACAAAATATTATAGAAAAATTCTTGCAATAATAGTAATAACAATCTACAAAGTACAATTCTTAGTCTGACAAAACGTTTATTTAGGAAATAAAAACGTTTATTTTGGAATTCCAAACTTTTTCTCATATTTAGAGGAATTTCTCAATATAATATTAAATGATGCTTTTTGAAAGGCATGTGATCATGTGAGTATTTGTAACCATTATGTAGAGTGGAATATATAATAAATGTTTTACAGTTGGTGTTTATGAAAGAATTACTAGTTTATAAGTGAAATTAGTGTTGTCTTTTTTTTGAATATTTAATGTTGTGTGTATGAATAGAATGATGAAGTGTTCAACATAGTAAAAGTGTTATGGGAAATTAGAAAGACTATTTTTGGTAGTAGCAAGGTTATTTCTCCGTATTTTTTTGTTTAGCCGGAAGCAAGAATAATTTATGAGAAAATTGTCCAATAAGCCCTCGTACTATACCGGATAAGTCAATTAAGTCCGCCTTTTAATAAGCCCTCGTACTATGCTGGATTTCACCGATACAAGTTTTATCCCTTGTTTGTTTGGGTTTAAGCTTTGCCTCTTCTGCCACAAGAGAATTAATTCTTGAGGAGGATGGACGCTGTCCAGGTTTCAGGAAACAGTATGACCCTTTTACTAACCCTCTTGAAGGAGAGGCTATTCTCCAAGGAGGCAGCAGCCTGAAATTCCGGCTCCCTCATGCTTCTAGCATGATATATGGTTTCAAGGTCCTAAAGAATCAGGACACTCTTTGTTCCCCTAAAAAAAGTGTGTTGGTTATCGTTTTCACCGTGTGGCCAGAGAGACTTGCTTAGAATCTTATTGTTTTCGTACTATAGTGTTAGGTATTGATATACAACCATTTCCTGAAAACTTAGAAGGGAACTATTCTTGTTTGTCTATATTTTGAGGTACCTATGCTGATATAGTAAGCTCCTCATGTGAATATGGATGTAGAAATGTATTGATTGTATTCATCCAAACGTTTTTTTTCCTACATGGTATCAAGAGCCATTCTCACTTCTTTCCCATTTTTATTCATATTTTTTTAACAATGGAGAGGTGGTAATTCATGTGTATCAGTGTATGGTCTCCTGTCTTGAACTTCTAACATCACTGCCAGCGTTTGAACAATTCTGTTGGTAATATTCTACATTGTTGTTTCTTCTGTCATTGTTATAACTTATAACTAGGGAAAACTATCAAATAAGTCATTTGATAGTTTACCTATAAAAAGTACAAATCACCCCCTTTCCCTTATAAAGGATGTTCTATTCGGCTGTCGCAATTTGGGGCGGTTCCCGGTGGAATTTTTGATGAATTTTTTTTATCATCTTCTTCATAGTCTAGTTTACTCATACTAAATTTCAACTAAAAGTACAACCGAGAAGGCATTCAAATCATTTCTGAAATATATTGTGTTGTTTAACTGCGCAGTTATCTTCAAAATTTCATTTGACTGTCTTCCCGGTTGTATTTTTAGCTGAAAATTGGTATGTGTAAACTAGACTTAATCAAGAAAATGCTCAAAAAATTTCATCGGAAACCGCCCCAAATGGCGACAGACGGACATAACCTCCTGTTTAAGGGGTGGTTTGCACTTTTTTGGTTAGTTTGAGGACTTATTTGATAGTTTCCCCTTATAATTATATACTTTACTCCATCCAATGCCTAAACTTTTGCAAGTTCGGTTGACATGAGTAAGGAAGAGAAGTTTATGTTATTGAGATGACCAAATAAGAAAGTGGATCTTTTTTGGATGACCAAGTGAGAAAGTTGGCAAAAGAAGTAGAGACGAAGGAACTATTAATACAACCGTAACCTGTTTAAGAAGCTACGTGTATACAGCAATGTTGATAAAATGTCCTATGTTTGTTTCAATAAACATTTTACTCCGTATTATTTAATGATTACTTCGATCTTGAAATGAGCATTTTGTAATTGAAATTTTAAATATGAATACCATTCTTAGTTGAATAAATAAATCTATCAATCTTATTACTTGAGTTGATTATCCTATTAATCCTATCAAATTTATGAAAAAAAGTTCTTTCATTAGCGTTCAACCAAGCCGGGCTATGGCCTTATTAATATTAATAGGGAAAGTTTTAGAAATAGTACTAAAACAATTTGAAAATTCTAAAATAGGACTGTCATGTTTTTTATTCCCAAAATAGAAGTAATTACTGCCAAGTATGGACTGTCATGTTTGAAGTCTGGTAATGCCAAAACATGACAGTAATTAATCATATTTTGGGAATAAAAACATGATAGCATTATTTTGGAATTTTCAAACTCTTTTAGTCCTGTTTCGAGTAATATTCTCATATTAATATTGTTGTTGGTCTGGGTCCACCCCTTGTTCAGGAAGAAGATAACTCAAAGGTATTTAAGATGGATAGGATTATCTGAGTAATCTTGGTGAATTGTTGTTTCTTCCCAATTGAAAGAAAATGGAAAAAATGGCATTTCAAATTGAAAGATGGTTAAAAGAAAAAGTCACATCAATCAATATAACATGCTCTTTTAAAATGTGATAATTAAAAAAAAGGATGACACTCCATCCCTGAGGGCTCCCCAACACCGACCGGACGGCACGATGGGAGGATGTAAATTGGACTATAATCACAATCTGACAGATAGAGTGTGGGGCTCCATCCCTGGTACTTGCAGAGGCCCTATGCATTTTTAGCACAGTAACCTCTCATCGCAGTTGCCGGGATTCAAACCCAGGACCTAACCCTTGCGGCACTCTCTCACTACCAGTTGAGCTACGCCCACCGGTTAAAATGCGATAATTGATATACTTTGTAGTTTTTAGGAGTACCTAGTTTTATGTTACATTTATTAGTGTAGTAGATTATATGATCCACTAATAAATAGTTTGAGGGCTTACTTATCCTTTTCCCCATCCCATGTCTTTAAACAAAATCTTTAGCACAATTAACCTCATTTTTTTTATCGTCACAATTAACCTCATTTGAAAAGCAATTATGGACATTAAATTAATCTATTGGTTTTAATGATAAAAGCCACTGAAACTGAATTGGTTTATAATTCGGACAAATGGTACACTAGTTAAATGAGAGAATCCCTATAGGTTAGAAATTCCAAAATATAACTATCATATTTTTTTTATTCTCTGAATAGGAGTAAATTTTTGCCAAGTTTAACATTACTAGACTTTAAACATGACTTTTTTTTCAAACTTGGTAGATTACAACAAAAAACATGATAGTCCAATTTTGAAATTTGAAAACTTTTTTACTCTTATTTAGGACAATTTCTGTAGTTAAATAGGGTAGGTATTAAGATATGATGATTTAATTTATTACTCACTCCATCGATATTTTATCCAATAAATAAATTCATACTTCGTATTTAGCATTCTGAAAGTCTGACTGACATAAATAAGTAGTGCCGATTCAGAATTTTGACTAAAATTTTCAGGCTTTTACTAATGATGTTGTTTCACTCCGTACCTTATGCACACACATATTTTATATACTACGTATCTTTTACTGGGCGGTTTAGTTCCAGAAAATGAAACTATGTACTATAAAAGGTAAGCAAGAATATGAATCGTGCATTTGTTTAGTTAGAAAAGAGCAAAAGATCATTTAGGGGCAAACCACCCAAAACCGGTGGAAAGGCAAAAGGGGAGACTGTAACTACTAAATTATTGGAGTTAACATGACAC